CTTTCCAGCAGCTCCACATCCCTCTTGTCCTGTGGAGCCCAGAACTGGACACAATACTCCAGATGTGGCCTCACCAGGCCTGAGTAGAGGGGCAGGATCACCTCCCTCGACCTGCTGGAGATGCTCTTCTTAATGCACCCCAGGATCCCATTGGCCTTCTTGGCCACGAGGGCACACTGCTGCCTCATGGTCAACTTGTCGTCCACCATGACACCCAGGTCCCTCTCTGCAGAGCTGCTCTCTAGAAGTTCAGCTATGAGAGATCAACAGCAAACTGTAGAGGATTCACTTGGAAGCAAATCCCCTCAGACCAGTGATCCTGCCTTACCAAGGGACTACATCAGGGATACTCAGTGATTTATATGCAGATCTGAGTTATTTTGCTAACGTTTGCCCAGGGTGAAGCAATGCGCTGGCTCCAGGTCTGGCTGGCCGGGTGGCAGTGTGTGCTGTCCTCGTGGTGGGACCACACATCGCAGTTCTGCAAGGGGGCTCTCCCCTGGAAAGGTGGGAGAGGATGCGCCTGGAACACCAGTGAGGTTGGAGCCAACCATGTTCGTCCTCCTGGCCAGCGCTGCCAAGTGTTGGGCACGTGCTCCGAGAACTTTGTGCCCACAGCTTCTCTAATATAGCCTTTATGGTCTAAGCCCTTAATGTCAGCGTGGGATGTATCCTCAGTTGCTTTCAGTAGGCCTAAACTGATTAAGGGTGGTGGGGACATGCCTCCTGGAGCTGGCTGCCTGCCGCGCTGCTGCCGGTAGATGCCACCAACACCTTTCCTGGTGGTCTCCTGTGCAAAGTCCCAGACAGAGAGGGGCAGCAGGCCAGACTGTAGGAGAAAGGGAGACTGTCGACACCAGCTGGTCATCAACAAGACTCGTTTATTAGTCGTTTATCCTGCTTTTTATACATTTCTTAATTAACCTCATGCATATTACAAAGCTTGAGCTCATGATTGGTTGCTAATGGTATTTGATTGTTTATTAGAAAGATAACTTCAGTCTGGCCAGCCCAGATTACGGTCGATAAGCAAGCAGCTTCTTCATTCTTCCTGCCTTATCCCCTCAAAGTTGTTTACGAAACTAGCCAAGGACAGAGTGTCCTTGCCTTACCAGCACGTCCTCAGCACTTCTCTCCTGAGGCCTAATCTCCCAGAAGCCCCTGCTTGCTCAGTTGCAGGCCTGAACCAAAGTCAGTAGAACCATACTCATGTCCACGCTCTCGTAGCCAATTCCCAACACCAGACCTCGCAGGAAACAGCTGGAAGGAGAAGATGGGGAGCTCGAAATTTGCCCATGCTGCCTCTCAACACATCATTTTTGGGGGTATAAGAGATCTCGGCATGTAAAATCCCAGGATGTGCCCTATGCAGGGTGCTGCACGAGGAGCATGGGAGGCATCTTGTAGACTAAGAACAGTGGGTGGTTAAGGCACAGACTTTGGCAGAAGGACAGCTGGACTCTGTGGGATCACTGGGAACCACGTGGAGATGCAGGGTACAAATGGAATTTGAAAAGTGTAGCCCATATTTCATATTTTGCTGCTATAACATTCATATTAGGCCCATGATATGATGGCCATAAGCAGGGAGCCCACTGCAGGAAGGTATGGTTTAAACTCTCTCATCTATTATTTCTACATTTAGGTACAAACTGATTGCCATTTTACAAAGCAGTACGAGTAAATTTAGCTTTATTTTGTGCTACTGGCAGGTACTTGTGGGTATAAATAAATGTGGGGGAATAAATTAGTAAAAGTATTTTTTTTTCTTGTTTTTGCCTGTCAACCAACTGACGTGCCTTTTTATTTTCATTTATTTATTTATTACTTTTTAGGCATTACAGAAGCAATTGAAATACCACAGTTTATTGGTCGCAGTTACCTCACGTATGATAATCCAGATATCCTGAAAAGGTAATTAACTGGTTGTGCTCTTTGTTTAGCATTATGTCTTTGGAAGTCTCAGGTGGGAGGATGTATTTAAGCCATAGTAAATTTAAGCTGTATTTGCTATGTTTCTAAATTTCAGGTAAAAGCACATTTTCTATTCATATGTTCATGGCTCAATTTATGGTAATATCTGAGCATCTTGCAACCTTTGAAGAACAGGTGTTCACCACCTAGTTCTGACACAGAGATGGACTCTATTCTGTTCCTGAGAGCAAAGAACAGAAGATATATAGAGTCTATATCCATAAAAGGACTATGGATTTTAACTCCTGCTTTAGCCTCCTGAGCCTAAAATAGAGGTCTTCAAACTTCTGCTTGGCTGCTCTCTACTCTAACAGCTATCCAAACTCCATTAAATTTGAGGTTGTTCTAAAAATTCCCTATCTGCCTATATTAGAATCTCTGGCTATGAGAGCTTCCCAAATGTCTTTGCCATGCTGACCTGCTGCTCAGCACTTCTCACCCACACCAGGACTCTGGTTAGCCTTTCTTGGACCAAGTCTACTAGGCCTTCTCAAAATTTGCTTATTAGCAAGAGGATTTCATGCTAGGCTTAGACAGAAAAAATGTATTTTTCTCATACGTGTATTGAGCAACTTAGCAACCTGGTATTCTGAGGTCCAAGTGCAATTTCCCCACTCTGAAATGTTGGAAATAGGCATGCTCATAAGCAACAAATAGGCAACTTAGTGGACCGCAACCTGCAAAACCAGGGAAGAAGTGTGGAGGCCTGCTTCAAAGTGTTATCAGCAGGTAAGGAACAGAGCAGGAAAAGGAGGAGGACTGCAACCCCGTGCAGAATGTCTTGTCAGAAGATAAGAAACAAAGCCAGGAAAAGAAGATAACTACAACCAAACAGGTGGCAAGATGCTGACTGGTTGCAGTTTCAGCAACACTTGTGTTAAGAGAGTATAAAATAAGATGGTTTGAAAATAAAGTTGTCTCACTCTGCATCCCAGACTGAGTCTGTTCCTTCGCAAGGTGCAACAAATGGTACCCAATGTGGGGCTGGAAGACTAGCTGTCTCTCCGGTTGCATCGCCCAGCTGAACTCCGTGATTCACGCTGAAGGGAAGTGTAAGGATCAAGCTGAAAGGAAGTGAATTTTGTGCGCACATCAGCGCCTCTTGAAAAGAAAGAGGTAAGCGGCTGGGAACTATGGGCTCACACGACAAAGGAAAAAAAAGATGTCTTAGAAGTCTTTCTTAAGATCTTAAAACAACAGGGCAAGTAATTAGATGAAGAAGATCTATAAAAGGTTCTTGCATGGGCTTCTAAAAACGATCCTTCGGTGAACTGTAAGAATGTATTTGAGAGATGAGACCATATTGGGGTCCGATTGTGGGACTGTGCCACATGCAGTAATAAGGCTGCTGCTGGCCTGTTGCCACAATGGCGAGTTGTATTTGAAATGTTGAAATCTCACAGTGGGTCGCAGTCGAACACGAATGATGAGGTCGGGCCCCCTGTCATCCCCTCCGCGTCCCCATTACCTCAGTCATGTTCTGATGAGAATCAGAAAAGAACGCGCTGCAAAAGCCTTTGCGGTACTGCCACCTGATGACCAGGACGATGATCCTTTTGACCTGGGTCCTATTGACCCTGGAAAGGAGCCAGACCTATACCCCCCCGGATCCTCAGGATAAATGGGCCTCAGTAAAACAAGGAGCAAAACAGGTGGGGGATGTGGGCATGCTGAAAACCTTCCCCGTTATCTGTGCACCGGATCAGAATACGCATTGGGAAGGTCTGTCGTATAAGCTTATTAAGGACATGCAACACATGGTGACAGCTCATGGCCTTGGGGCCCCATATACCACCCACCTTATACAATCTCTTTGTGATACTTTGGTTTTTACTCCCCATGATTTTAAAACTTTGTTTCACCTCATTATAACTGATATGTAATATATACGATGCGGGTCGAAAATGAGACAGCTTGCTCGAGCACAGGGGGAGGAAAACCAGCGGCTGTCGAAAAAAGGTCCTTTATGGGCTGTTACTGTGGACATGCTAATGGGGGAGGGTGACCACAGTGCTACAACAGCACAAGCAGGATTTCCCCCTGAGGGCCTGCAACAAGTTAAGGCACTTGCTCTCCCCGCCCTTAAGGCCGTCCGGGAGGCTGGTAAACAACGACAGCCTTTTGTTAGCATAAGATGGGAAAGAGCCATATATGAAGTTTTTGGATTGGCTTAATGAGGCTCTGGAGAAACAAGTTGATAATGAACAAGTACGAAGCTACATTTTTAAACAACTAGCAATTGAAAATGCTAATCCCAACTGTCAGAAGGTCTTACGGCCTCTGAAAGATCCCATCATCGACGACATGTTAAAAGCATGTATTAATGTCGGTACCAAACAGTATGAGTATTCACTGATGGCCGAAGCATTTGCGACAATGTCAATGAAAAATCTGTGTTTTGCTTGCGGCCAATTTGGGCATATTTGTAAATACTGTCCAAAAACACAAGCAAACAAAGGAGGAGCGCCTGGAATATGTCCGCGCTGCCACAAAGGACAACACTATGCTAATCAGTATCGATCTAAACTTGATAAGGAAGGTTGACCGCTAGCCCCTGATACATCAGTTGTGCTAATTCCAACTGGCGTCCATGGTCCCCTGGGGGAAGCAATGGCAGCATTGTTAATTGGATGATCTTCAGCAAGGAGACAAGGGCTATTTGTGTTACCTGGAGTTATCGATGCAGATTTCAAAGGAGAAATAAAGATAATGGTATGGACTCCAATACCACCATGTACTGTGCCAGCGGGGAGCCGAATAGCACAATTAGTATACTTTTTACCACAGATGCCAAATGCTGCAAAAACTAAATGCGGCACAGGCTCTTCTGGGTCCACAGGACAACCTGAGCTTTTCTGGACTCAACAGATAACTATGAATCGCCCGCAGATATCCTGTACGTTACAAGCAGGAATAACTCAACAGATAACTATGAATCGCCCACAGATATCCTGTACACTACAATCAGGAGTGATAAAGTTTAACGCACAAGGAATTTTAGATAGGGGAGCGGACGTTACAGTCATCGCTGCCTCGCAACGGCCCAACAGTTTGCCCCTAATGAATGCACACGCATCGCTTTCAGGAATTGGTGGGCAGAGTACCCCAATGCAAGGTGAAAGACTGATGAATATCATTGGCCCAGAAGGGAGAATCACAATTATTAGACCATTTATATTGCCTGAATCCGTCACCTTGTGGGGGACAGACTGTTTGAGTCAATGGGGCATGCAGTTAAGCACGGATTTTTCTTAGGGGCCACTATCCAGCAGCAGGTCCCACCCATGATTTGGAAAACGGACAAGCCAGTGTGGGTAGATCAGTGGCCCCTTCCACAAAATAAACTGCTGCAATTACACAAGTTAGTAGATGAACAATTGCAAGCTGGTCATATAGTTCCTACTACAAGTCCCTGGAACACGCCAGTTTTTGTAATTCAAAAGAAAAATAATTCCTGGAGGCTGTTACATGACCTTAGAACAACAAGGTCATCAAAGATATGGGAGCCTTACAGCCCGGACTCCCTTCTCCAGCAATGTTACCTCAAGCATGGACTTTGATAGCAATTGATTTGAAAGACTCTTTCTTTACTATTCCACTTGCACAGCAAGATACACCTCAGTTTGCATTTTCTGTGCCTTCCATCAATGCTATGGAACCCCATAACAGATATCATTGGAGAGTTTTGCCACAAGGCATGAAGAATAGTCCTACATTATGTCAACAATTTGTGGCAGCAGTTTTAAGCCCAATACGCAAATATTTTGATAATGTCCTCATCTATCACTATATGGACGATATATTGATTGCTGCAGAGCAAAAGGAAACAGCAGAAGAGGCTCTGCATCAGATTACGCGAGCAGCATCAGCTGCAGGATTAAGAATTGCGGAAGATAAAGTACAGGAAAGTCCGCCTTGGCGATATTTAGGATGGAGAATTTCTGATCATCAAATTCGACCACAATCATTGACCCTAAAGACAGACATAAAGACTTTGAATAATCTTCAAAAATTTTGGGGAACTATTAATTGGATCCATCCCTCCTTAGGGATTTCCACAGAAGAATTACATCCTCTAAGCTTTTAGAAGGGGACATGAGTTTGACATCCCCGAGGAGGCTTACCCCTCCTGTGAGAGCTGCGGTTGACAAAGTTGTGGACAAATTAACCACTCAGACTGTTCACAGACGAAAGCAGAACTATCCTATCAGTCTTTTTGTTTTTTATTCTAGCTTCCAACCTTATGGCCTATTAGCAAAATGGATACCACAGGACGCGTGCCCGTTAATAACCTTAGACTGGGTTTTTCTGCCTCATATTTTTGGCAAAACCGTCACCACTGCTATTGATATGATTGCGATGGTTATTCAAAAGGGAAGAGAGCGTTTGATGTTTCTAGATGGCACAGAGCCTGATATTATTTATTTACCACTCAATACAATTTGATTAACATTTTGACTCACCAGTCTTTTGTTTTTCAGTGTGCCTTGGCAGATTATCCAGGACA